GCTCCTGTCATGTCTGGATACCTTTACCTATATACTTTATTGATTTTCGTTATTACATAAATAGTTCATTATATTCGTCTTCCGTTATTTCTTCAGGCACGTCATCACAATCGTCTTCATCATCTGTGTTACCCTCATCCATAAATAAACAGTCATCTTCTGATCCGTCCAGATTATTTGAAATGATGCATTTTTTGAATGATTTTCTAACCATCTCTGGCTTAATTTCATCCCATGCTTAAAAGCATGGGATGAAATCCATATGCACATGAAATATCCATTCGCACACTGCTTCCAAACTTGCATGACGCATATATCCTCCTTTCGTATTGGTTTTCTCTCCCTCCAACATCCAAGTGTTCCACTGTTTTTTTAAATTGGCTTTAAATGGTTTGTTTAAGCAGACATCCAATGGCTGAACTAATGGTGTCAATCCGCCCGGAATAACTGCCATATCGGTGTTACATTCTTTCAACAATTTTTTGTATTATCTGTAAGGTGGGACGTAAACATGCCCCCCCCCACTAAAAGGCTTTCTGGTTTTCTATAGATACTAGTCGAGATATTGCACATGTACAATCCAAATTTTCGTGCGCGTTATACGAAGAGTATATCTTAAAATTTAAAAAAAGTTATTAGAAATTACGGGTGCGCGTTACATGCCGGGGCGAGTTATGCGCCGGAATATACGGTATTTATATATACTTATTACACATACTCATCATCCCACTTAAATAAACTCATACATTATATCATACATTCTTGTATAGATTACCCCACTGATTAGTTCCCTGCATTAATTAAGTATTTGAAGAGCTGGACTTCTTCTCTTTTCTACATTCTTTGCCCCAGAGGGAAGCAGCGTTAAAATGCTCCCAAGCATCCTAAAAATTATTTTATTGTGAAAAGTAAAATAATGACAAATTAACTACTTACTATTTGTTTTCCACATTAATATGACATCTTCAAAATGGACCATATGTAAAACGGAAATAAATATAAGAGCCGAGAGAGATGCTTTTGGAATGAAGCGGAAATAAGGTGACATCACACCTAGGGCAAGAAGTACCAGACTTCCTGAAAGTGAGAACACATCCAAAATGTCAAAAAAAAATTTGATGATGTTAAATTTATCATATTTATTTGAAGAAACTAATTTACAACCTGTGACTATCCCACCAGCAGTAGTACGAACACCACTACTATAATTTATGGCTGTTCTGAAAAGAAAAAGTATATTAAGACCAACACAACAGGTTAATTGAATTAAAGTTTTTAAATGAAAACGATCAGGTGAGTTTGGAAATATATGTAGAGTTAAATTCCATAAAAAGTTTTGTCTAAATCAAATCAGTAGCTCCTTTAAAGGATTAGTGAAATAGATGCACAGTCCATTAAAAAAAAGAACCACCTCAAATAACTTTTGATCTAATAATCAGATTTTTGCATCAGAGGACTTTATCTTTATGGTTTAAAGGCTGAACCTTAATTATGTTTATTAATTAATTACAGACAATATATTACTTACAGACAATATTTTACACACTTCCACTACATAAATAAAAAAAAAATTTCAACTGGCTTGGATTCTTTACCCATAAAATATGGGAGGGATATTTTAAGGCTAATTATTTAAATATTCTAATATTATTTTGGTCCCAAATCTTTTTGGATAATAAACTAATACATAATATAGGATATAATTTAGTTACAATATAAGATAATATATAGGATAATAATATATGACTTAATATACTAAAACATAATGTGGGATAATTATTAAATAATTCAGAAGTTCTTGCATGTTACTAACATTTGTTTAGTTTGTCATAAGCAAAAATTAATTTATTTACATTGTTGGAGACCCAACAAAAACACTATCGATGTACAGATTAGTTATGGTTGTATATCTTTCTTCTCTAAATTAACTTTTTATTTAGTTTTATCAGAATAATTTAAACATAATTTTCAATCGCTTTTTGGAACTCACAGATAATCAGAGCTCCACTATAATATACAATGGTAAAAACAATTGAAAAGACAAATGTTTTTTTTTTGCAAAGAAAAAATAAAAACGCAAATAAAACCAAACCAGGCAAAAATATCATCTGATGTAAGACCAATATAAGGGATAACAAAAATGGGCGTAGCTGGTACATTAAATAAGGAAACTGTTATTTGTCCAGTACAGCAGCAGATTGACGTTCTGTCAATAAGAGAAGAGTATGTCTAATAGGGTGTATGTTCGCCTCTAACTGCTATACAACTTTCACATTTGCGTTTCATACTGATTACCAGGGTCTTATCAATTGCTGTAGAAACTGCACCCACTCTTGCACAAAGGCACCCTTAAACTCATTGGAGTTGGTCTTGAAACTGCAATTAAGCGACCAAAAGTGTCCCATACATGTTGAATAGGATTAAGGTCAGGGGGCATTGCAGGTCACTCAAATCATTGAATATCTTCCAATTGGAGGTATTCATCAACCAACTGAGCCCTGATACTTCGTGTATAGGCTTTACTTATCATTTATTTATTTTACTATTATTTTCTTAAGCCGGCCAGGTAGCCGAACGTTTAGCTTGCCTAACTTAGAAGTCAATGGCTGTGGGTTCGAATCCCGTTCAGGGAATGGATGTTTCTCTCTATGTGTTTTCTTCTGCTGTGGGAATGCTATGTGTTTTCTTCCGCATGCGTAAATGTGGCCCACCCTATGAGCGAGCATCTGTGGCAGAGTGGCATGGGTAATGTTCTCGTTTTCGTGCCTCTGGTCACAAGGTGCTCACCAGGCAATGCAAAATTAGTAAAATTGTTGGCATCTTCCATGGTGAAAAACAATTAGTTCAGTGCCTGCCATTAATTTTTGTTTAATTTTAAAAAACCGTACCTTCTTTAATTGTTGGAAATTACAAAGTTAAATACTGAACAATAAAACTGAGAGATATGATGCTCATAATTTATAAAAAATGGAAAAGAAAATAATAGAATGTCAATTAAAACTAAATAGAAAATTTTATTTCACCTATTAGAGTTGTTAAATATAACGTAACAAACCTAGAAAAACTACCAGTTGCAGGATATGATGAAACAAATGATCCCATGATATTGCAAATACCTGAAACATTTGTTTTACTTTAATTTCTTCCAACAAAGTTAATAAAAATTGAAAGATCAGAATAAAATATTAAAATATTTACCAATCGCAATCATTTCTTGAGTAGCATCAATTTTCTTTCCTTTAGCTGCAAAAAAAAAAAAAAAAATGATTAAAAAAATAAAATTTGTTCTAAAATTTGCAAATAAAGTTATTTTTTTAAACATGAATATCTTATATTCAGGGAAGAATAATTCACAGAAATTTGGACATTTTAGAAAATGTCAGAAGTTTAAACATAATTTACATACCAACAACAGAAAAAGAATGAAAGAGTTCTTCACTTCAATGAATATAAAAAAGGAAAAAAAGGAAAAGGAAGAGGGAAAAAAATAAAAAACGCTGAAGAACATAGACAAATAGAACCATTAACAATACAGGCAACAGTGTTGATATGGAAGTCCAAATAGCAAGATCACTTTACCATATCAAGAAAAGTTGAATGTTAAGATATTTTTATTCAGAATTATATTTTTAATAAGTAGTAATTAAAAATTTCGAACTATACATTAGACAACTCATTAATTAAATATTAACAATAAATAAGTGAAAATATCTCTTATTTTTAAAATTGAATATATCATAAATTATAAAATTTGATAGATTGAAATAAGCATTCCTACCAAAAGATTTTGCTATTGCTATAGCTTCAAGCAAACAAAGCAGAGGAAGAATTACCAATCCAGATCCTAAATCCTGAAATATGAAATAATTGGTTTTGTAGAAATAAGTAGGACAGGAAGTGGGAACAAGGGATTTATATATATAGATAAATATATATAGAAAACCCGAGATAATTGGGCAACATTATCACTATCTTGTCAAATGCAGTAAAATCGTAAATTTGGCGAACAAAATTGTGTTTTGGGGAATGATTTTTTCCACTAGAAAGAAGTTAAATTTACGTCAAAATGAATTTTTTTTTACACAAATCAGTATTTTTTATTCGATTACAGTAATTTTCGGTAAATGTGCCACATAAACAATTGAAATTGAGTCTCAATAATATAAACATGACTCAAACTACCGTAAAATAGTTTTCTATGGGAAAAAAATTTATCATAAAAAATAGTTAAGATTGGCAGTTAGCAAAGACATTAGAAAATTGGAGACTACTTTAGATATTTGTCTAATTTACTGTCTAATAATTTGAAATCCTTAGTGCGGATAGAATTCTTTCCGATATTGATTTATAAAACATAAATCTGTATCAGAAAAAATACTTAAATACTTCAGGACATTAAATATACTTAGATACCTTTTAAATAAATTCGATACCATATGAGAATTATTTTAAGTAAAGCTATTATTGATGAAACAAAAAAAAAATTAAGAGTAAAAAAAATGGATGAACAATGTTGTTTGGATAACACCCCAAAAACTAGAAAATCTTATGTTGGGAGCCAACACAATCAGATCCATTTTAATACTAAAATATATGACATACAAATGTATACCTAACTTCTTCACATGTGTGCAGATTATAAAAATAAATTAATAAATGCATTAAATGTAAATAAATCTAAACAAATATGGGAACAGCATTAAAAAATAATTTATCATAGCATATTTATAGGTACATAAAAGTGAAAAACCAGAAAAAAATGACAATTAAACCAAAAGTTAACCGTTGCAAACATTATAAAACTCACATTTATAAATAAAACTTATAGCTACAGTTACTAGCACAGTATCATATTAATGAGGCAGTTGTAAATAGACGTTTGGAATTATAATTCCGTATTATATCTTTACGATCCATTATTAACATTTTATTTGTATAAATTTGTAACAAATTAAATTTTTCAGGCATTTCAAAGTTGCACTGAGATTATACACAGTAAACAAAAGGACAAATGACCAGTGAAAAACAAACTCTTAATATGACATTAGTTTTTCACAAGGTTGGATAAAAAACTTTTTATAATAGGTGTCACATAGTATTTTTTGATTAAATCTGTCAAAAAATTCTAGATATTAAAGGCGAGAATTATGAAAAACCTTGGATAATTTAAAAATCATAACTTTCGCTACTAGTAATCAAGTTAATATTAATATGGAGATGCGAACAAGCATGACTCAACAAATTAAATAGTTGAAATATGGAAATATTATCAAGAAATTCACATTTTATAACGGTCGTTGAACAGTCAACCCAATTTCGGGTTTACGACTACTAATGTTCGACTCCATAGCCTTGTAATTTTGAACCCAATCCAGAAGACAAGGGAACTCCTGAATCAAGGATTGGGAGAAATTTGGCTTCATGGAGGACTTTTTGATGGAACTAACCAGCATTTGCGTTATGTGGAGAGGAAAAAGAAATTCACAATAAATTCAAAACTGATATTTCATAGCATATAATCAGATTTTTACCTGACACATTTCAAAAAAGTCTTTATGGACAGTTGTATTGGTGGCATTGTTGTAGTAGTTGATGGAGAAGGGAGGCAAAGCAAATGGTGGAAGACCAGCTTTTACAGTTTTAGTTAATGTCAAAACATCAATGTCATGGGACAGTAAAAGAGCTGCTATGCTCGCACACAATATGACTAGAAGTGCATTTCTAGCTATCAAGGAAAAAAAATAGAATTAATTATATTTGGAATATGAGGAAGTTAAAAATCATAATTTAATAAAATTAAAAGTTCAACCATAAATAATAAACTGCATTGACTAGACTAGACTACATGACATATTAAACTACATGATTAGAAGTGCATTTCTAGCTCTCAAGGAATAAAATTGTATTGTTCAATACAACTTTTGGAGCATAGATTTATTGCATTATTGTTTGTTAACAGTTATGCAAGTTATTATGCATTATTTTTTGTTAATGGTTATTTTGCTGTATTCTTCATGAAGCCAGTCTTCATTTTTTTGTTGGCTTGCCTCAAACAGATGTTGCTGTTGTCAAGATAGTCTCTTTTATCGGTTTCCATTTAGTTTCAATATCACTAATTAAGTAATTCAGTAAGTCTAGATTTTCATCTAAAGCCAACTTTTATGCTCAAAATATAGGGGAATTAACCGAATAAATACAACACAAAAAGTCTTATCCAAAGTTTTATCTGAGAAATTTTCATTTCTTAAGGGAATCAGAGATTACTAGTGTGGTTTCCGAAGGAGAAAGTCAACAAACTCTGCTGATTTCCAGCTTAAGACAAATTACAGAGAAATGCAGAGAGATTGGAATAAAAACTTATCACCTCTTCATAGATTTTAAGTCAACATATGATAATATGCTGTGAAAACTAGATGCTAGCAAGAAAAGTTTAGAGATAAAAATAGTTTTAAATGCAATAAGCACCGATTTACAAAATTGATAGAAATCATATAGTCAAATATAAAGTACATACCAGTACTAATTAATTTGATAAACATGTCAAATACTCTTCCAACAGAAGGTCCACAGCATAAAGTTTTCACATTATTTAAATACTAGATATAAAAATAAAAAAATAAAATTATAACAGTTATTTGTAACAATTATAAATTTTCATTGAAAGATTTTGTACAAAATATGTTTTTAAAATTACTTGCTTTCAATAGGAATAGGAAAACTATGCTGCTTAATCCAAGAGCCATGTCCCAATACCTTTAAGCAAGAAATAGAATAGAATTAATGAATTAACAAGTAAGTATAAATTTATTTAAAACTTTGAAATAAAACATCAATGGCTGAAAATTTAAAAAATAAAATTATCTATGATTTAAAATGAGCACTATAACAAAAGGAGTAAAAAAAAAAAAGTTTTTGAAGTTCAATTCAGTTGTGATTCAGAAACACTATATTCAGATTTATATCTTAGAAATAATACAATAAACCTTGCAAAACTGACAATCATATTTATTTTTAGAAACGCTATGTTAGAACATGTCATTAAATCCCAACTTTGAAAGGTTCACAGTTGTGCAGCTTTTGCAACCGAACTGAAGAAGTTAAGCACAAGCTTTCATAACTATAGATAATTGAAAGTTTGCAACAGTGAGGTAGATGATTATTGATAATATGCATTAGCTTTAACAGATTAATAAAAATAGCACCAGCTTCATATAAAATCATCTTTTTTTATACAATAAATGGATGTCTGCCTGTGAGTCGCAGATGTTTGCAAATGTTGACCAGCAAATGTTTGTGTTTGCAAATGGTGCACCATCTCGGCACTTGTCCCTTCTTTGAAAGATTTTTAAGGCAGCCCTAATTTTAATGTTCGCACCTTCATATCATAAGCATTTTATAAATAATTCATCATCGTCATAAACAAAATTTTGTACAAATCAAGAATGTTTGCCTTGGTTTAAAAAATAATGTAGTGTATCTGTGTATGATCCTGTATTTTAATAAATGAAAATATAGTATTTTAACCTAAAGTTGACTTTTTTTTGCTGTAAAATGCTTGCAGAACATTTGTATAAATTAATTAGTCCTGTTGTAGAACATTTGAAAATATTCTGCTTATAGGTCTGCGACATATAGCCTGCAAAGATTTATTGGAGAATGAAAATTTTTGAAAAATAATGATGTTGTCTTCAAAAACTTGGTCAAAATTCATAAAATCCAACTCCTATACAGTTGAATATAGCAGCCAAATGGTTTGAATTCAATCTTATTATAAACACATTAAAATCAAAATATTTTCACGTTAGGGTCATAGGTCATGAAAAATTTGCAGCATCTAGTAAAGTCACTAATCAGGTAATTCTACTAGTTAATGAAATCACTTATGATATAATTCTTTAGGCAATACAAATGTTGGGTAATGAATAGGCAATGAATTGCAAGGGTAATAGTTACCTAATTTGCCCATGTACGATCCCATGAAAGAAATGATACACATCTTCAATAAAACCTTCAGAATCAGATTTTATGCCAAAAATACCCTAAAATAAAATTTCTCACATCACCTTCATAAAATTTATTTTTGATTCATAGAAACTATATGTTCCTTTCAGTTGTTTTATAAAAAACTAAAATTATTTCTAAGAAAGAATTTTTATTCAGTAATTTAGAAAGAAAAGGTAGAAAGCTTTTTTATGAGCTCTATGCAACTATTACAGTAAGTAATTACCCAGCTAGCAGTAATTAATTGAGCTAAATAAAAGAACATATTAAGTAGAACTTAAAAAGTGAATAGTGAAAAATCAACTTAAAATTGTATAAAAAAATCTTAAATCTATTTACAAAACATTTATAACAATTAAGCTCAATATAGTTAATATAGAAAACAGTTGAAGAGTTAAAATAAACATGTTAAAATGGCATTTTAGTGATTTGGGACCAGCTCATTGTATAAAAACATCTCATAAGTTGTTTATAACAACTGAAAATGGCATTATTTAAAGAATAGCAGAATAAACTAACATTCTTCATTTACAATTTACAACAACATGTTGTTAAATATATAAAATTGAATCTTTTAGAAATATTATTGGCGATCGAATGGGCTGCAGGTGGCGTAGAGCAGAACTCTTTTCCTATGGCAACACTTCACATGCTTTCCCCATTAGCGTGTGGAATGTCATAGAGGAAGGAAGTACGTTAGTTTCTCTCTTGATTTTCATATAGATTAAAATCTTTTAACTTGAAAAACTATATGGAACTGATAACTACATTAAACATAGTTCTAAAGAAAAGTATCATGGAAATCTTAAAAAATATTTTTATTAAATAAAGAGAAAAAATATTAAGGGGAAAATATCGTAGTACATTCCTATACAACTGAAAAGAGGAGGAGAGGGAAGGGAGAAGGGCTAAAGGCATGAAACCGGTCTTTCCCCAGATGGCGTATTCGAGTGTTGCGATCGCGAATTGAACATGTCTTCTTCCTCTAACCTCTCCACTTAAAATAGTTTTGTAAAACATTAAAAAAAAAAAATTAAACTCTTATATAAATAAACAGTGCAAAATAATCTAATTGAATGATGATTATTATATTGGCCAAACAAGTTTTAAGTAAAAATATTGCATACCGAAACCTGAGTAGTTGCAATAGTAATAGCAGCAGCTGATGTAAAGGCAGTTACAACGGATGATGATATGAATGTCATTAGAAATCCTGAAATTAAAATTAAGTTTTATAGCTTAAAGATTTATATGCACTCAAAATAAATAGCAGAACAAAAAATATTAAATGTTTTATGGTTGATGCACTCAAAATATGAATATAAAATATGCACTCAAAATAAATAGCAGAACAAAAATTATTAGATATCTTATTGTGATGCACTCAAAATATGAATATAATATGAAATATGAATACAAAATATGCACTCAAAATAAATAGCAGAACAAAAAATATTAGATATCTTATTGTTGATACAAAATAAAATGCTGAAAAGAAGTTTTCCAGTATACTTTACAAAAAAAAAAAGGCATTAAAAATAATTTTTTTTTATTTCATACCATTATATGGCATATTATATAACCATAACTTGTAACATTTTAGGCTTTTGCTAAATATTTTTTCTATTGGTAGTGAATTTTAGCATAAATTTTCAAAACAAATAGAATGTTAATAAAGATCGTGACCATTCATGTATTTGACGTTTAATTCGGTTTAAATTATTTATACATTGTGGTGGGTACACAATTTTTTAAAAAATTTATTGAAATATTTATACACTACTTTTACTACTACTACTAAGGAAAATATTTTTTGAAAAAATGGAAATTCCTTAATAATAGGAAAGTATATTTTACATAACATCCTTAGTTTTTGAGTGTCATAACTATGACACATAACAGTGTCATAATAATTTTAGTAAATCAATGCAAAGTATAAAGGTAACTTTTATCCATTAAAATTGGCAGGTATGATTGTCTATTAAGCTTTATTCATAAAAGATGCCATTCCTTAATACTAATATCTGTAGTATTTTATTTTTTTTTAAAAAAATATGTTTTTATATTTAAATAAAACAAGATTGTTAAAGAATATGTATAAGAACTCAGAAAACTTTACAACTAAAAAATAAGTAACATCCATTTGGTCTTGAAAACCAAAATATCTCATATCACCTACCTAAATTGAGGATGCCCATTAGTAGCTGAATGCAGCCACTTAAAAATGTGATTAAAATAACATATGGAACTCCTCCTTTTGTTGTATGCTCTGCAGTCATAATGGACATGATAGCGGTAGGGCCAATAGTGAGATTTTTACAACTTCCAAATATGGCATACATGAAACAACCCATAAAAGCGGTGTATAAGCCATACTGTAAAAATATTTTTAAAAAATTAATTTCAAAATATAATATTTACAAATCAAATCTATATTAAAAGCATTGAGCATGATATGATTGTGCAAAGATAATGACAGATATAGAGAGATGGTTGGGAAACAGTTCCGCAGTGGACTGATCGTTAAGATTCCAGAAGATCACGGAAGTCAAGCATCACTGGCTGCGGTCAGTGTGCGGGTGGGAGACCACTTGAATCAGTCTGCGTAGGGACCGAGGCTGTGCGGTATCGGTCTTCGTTAAAATGTTCTACCGTAAAGTGCTCGACTTCGCGTGCAGGTCGTTGGGCTACCGAAGTGGGGGTGCCTTTCCATCTGCAGAGGATCAAAATTGCGATGGCTTGTCCTCGGATCATCTTCAGGGATGTTTCCCAGGCCGTCGCCAATAGCCCATTGTGCAGCTCTAGTGCGACGTAAATTAACTACTACAACAACAAGCTTGGGAATCAAGGCAAATATTCTAAAAATGAAAATAGCCATCTTTTCCTTCCTTTTTGTGAAATTTACACATTAAAGGAAGCGGGTTCAAGTACAAAGACATTCCCAAGCTTACATAATTATCTCCGGATGATATTACTAGAAATCAAATAGATCATATGGCCGTAAATTGCAAATTTGAGAGGTACAAAGTCAAGTACAAAGACATTTACAAGCTTACATAATTATCTCCAGATGATATTATTAGAAATCAAATAGATCATATGGCCGTAAATTGCAAATTAGAGAGGTACAAAGTCAAGTACAAAGACATTTACAAGCTTACATAATTATCTCCGGATGATATTACTAGAAATCAAATAGATCATATGGCCGTAAATTGTAAATTAGAGAGGTACAAAGTCAAGTACAAAGACATTTACAAGCTTACATAATTATCTCCAGATGATATTACTAGAAATCAAATATATCATATGGCCGTAAATTGTAAATTAGAGAGGTACTAAGTCAAGTACAAAGACATTTACAAGCTTACATAATTATCTCCGGATGATATTATTAGAAATGAAATAAATCATATGGCCGTAAATTGCAAATTTGCAAGGTCAAGGCTTGACATTAGATTAAAAAGGAGAGCAGATGTTAGAACAAGTAATTATTAGTTAGGGATGAAAATAAAAATAAAACACTGCAGATCAAAAGTCCAACTTGAAAACAGAAGCCATATTAGTTATAATACTGCAAAACTAAAGATGTGAGAGATAGATTTTGTCTAGAGTTGAAGAACAAATTTTCAGCACTAGCTACGACTGTGGAAAAATGAGTAAGAAAATTTGAAAGAAGTTTAAAATGCAGGTATATAAATGATATAATAGTAGGTAGGAAGGTGACAGGAGAGAGTGGAGAACAAGACTGAGGACCTTATTTGCTACTGGGCGTGAAAAGAAATGATGATAATATTTAAATGCATTAAAAAGAAAAAGTGTTTAATAAACTTATTATCTCAATAATATTGGCTGACAATAAAAAAAATTGATAATTTATTCATGTTCAAAAATGTAGCAACTGACAGATTTTTACAACTGTTCTTAAAACTGAGTGAGTATTGCATTATTCATGCTAGTGAAAAGAATTGATAGCTTTACTAAATTCATGTTTAAATATCAAGCTATACATGTGTCAATTTTCAACAGCTTTTACTAGTTTAATTTAAAAAAAAATTTTGTTGGTATATTTTAATAATAAAAAAAATTAGAGATTTTTAATGTCATTAAAATGTGAAATTCGTGTTATCAGAAGTTAATTTGTAGATAAAATAGCTTGTGCTTTAATGCTTAAAAAAAAAATACTGCCCTTAACTACAAAAAGAGCAGTTTAAATAATAATAGTTATTTCCATTGTTTAGTAAAAATTGAGTTCCATCTTCTGAAAGAAAAAAAATAATATAAACTTAATTAATTTTCAAACACCATACTGAAAATATGAATTGCAAGTATATAAAATTACGGCATGACATTCGATATTGAATTTTTTAACAAATGAAACTGAGTTGATTCACCAAAATTATTCCCTTTTAAATAATGCATAACTCACAAAAAATATTTACATTTATGTTAACTTTTCAAGTTATATTATAAAAATAAATTTAAAAAAAACACAGCAACAACAAAGGGAAATCATTACTTGAAGTGTAATATTTTAGCATTGAAAATGAGAACTTAATTTATCTAAAAACTATAAAGAAATAACTGAGTACCCCTTTTGAATGCAATTAGGGTCAAAAAGCACAAAATTCATTTTTTAAAAATTTCTTTGTTTTATGTACAGCACACAAAACAGTTTATACAAATATAAACCCTAAATAATTATACGAATGCTAATAAGAATAAGTCTAAGAACAAGTCTACTGCTTTTACTGCAATATTTAAAAATTTTATCACAAGAAAAAAAAAAGAGCAGGGGTCTGTCCAGACATTTTGTGAAAGGTACGTTTTTGTAAAATTGCAAAAAAATTACTCGTAAATTTGTGAATATAAAATAAACGTTAAGTCACATTCTTTCAACCACGGTCCTGCTTTTAAGAATTTGTGCAAATAGGGTCCTATTATTGCAAAAAACTTTTTCATTGAGTTTTTAAATTGTAAATAGATACAAGATTATGCTCAACACTATAATTTAAGAAAATAAAATTTTCAAAAAAAAAAAGCAATTGCTGCTTCTAAATTAGAGATGCAACATACAAATATTTGGTATTTAGCCTACACTGCTGAATATTCATTTCGGACGAATATAGGAAGAAGCGTCTGCCGAAGACAAAACTTAATTCGTTCTCATCCATCTTTTTTTCCCCCTTGGGAAGGGTTTATTCGATTAGCAAAACAATAATGAAGATAAACAAATTTGCGAAGGGTCCGATTAAAAGAAAAATCAGTTTGTGAAAGGTCTGTTTTAAAGTTAAAATATTTTGTGAAGGGTCCATTTTTATGAAATGATATTTCGTGAAGAGTCCCTTAACGGACCCAAATTTCATCTAAACAGACCCCTGAAGAGTATCACCAAATTAGCTTTTTCCAAAATTTCTGGGTAATTATACAATAGGAATAAGTTATCTACTGATTTTGCAACATTTTCAATACTATAGAAAATGTTTATACATAATTATCATTTTCCAGAATCCTTGCTTTACTACAATACAGACAACAGCTACATCAATAAGAGTCTACTACTGATATTCTGATATTGCCAAGTTGCACAAGTTTAGTTGGGGGCTCTGTAACTTGAGAGTACTCTTTTTCTACATTTTTAATAATTAAACTTACATGATCAACAAAATAAAATGAAAGCAAAATACTTAAGCATAAAACAGAGAAATTTCATTTACTTGGGGAGATAAACCAGCTAAAGATGCAAGTGCTAAGCCTTGAGGAATAACAGTTAAAGCAACAGTCATTCCAGCTATCAGGTCCCCCTTGAAATCTTCTATGCTATATGCCGGAAGCCATACTACGATTGGGAGTTTTCGCTTTAAAAGATCTAAGGTGAATTTCTCAGAGCAATACTTTGCTACTCCTTTAAAGATGGAAGATTTGGTATTTTGAAGTGGTTCAACTTCCTCCGCACTTTTCACATCAGCTGAAAGAAAATAAAGATCTTTAGATTAAAAAAAAGAAAAAAGATAAGCATGAACAGATAGCTAATTCAGTAATGTTGTTCAGATGTATATCATTATTACTTTCTTTTATAATTTTGAACTAACCTACTTCCTCTTAAATGATGTTGTTATAAATGAATTATAAATGATCTAGACTTGTTAAATTTTCTGTATCGGGATCCACGCCGACAACAATCGGCAAGACACCTGATGCTTACCTTGATTTCAAACAGAAAAAAAAAACACAGGTAGATGTTTGCCGTGGCTACGAGTTATACTATTCGAGTTCATTCCTTTCCGTGATGTTTTGTTTTAAAGTTTCTTGCAGTCTACTGCCCGGAAGTTGCTAAGACTTGGCTTTTCTTTCAGACATTATTTATCAGGAATAAAATTTTTGTAAAAAATTGTATTTTTGTAAAACAAACAGTTTTCCTTAGTGTTTTATATTTTTTTGAATTTATCAATTCTGTTTTTTTTTATATACACAAATGCAAATAAGCTATCGTTATAGTTGTCAAATATATATGGGTGTCTAATTCTAAAGTGAATTAATAGCCCAATAATAATCATTCAGAATATTTTTTAAGAATTTCCTGGCAATCTATTCTGATATTTTTTAAAATAACTTACTAATTTCTTTTTTTTTTAAAAAAAAGCTAACAAAATTTGCCCTTAATAAGCAAAAAGATGTTTTAGAAAAAAATATTGCACTTCGAAAAAAAAAAAAAAAATTTACCTAAAATTTTTTTTTTTTAGGTTATATTGATGAGAAAAACCAAGAAATGCTTGAAATCAACATTGTAAAAGTAGTCTTTCGCATAATTAAAAAAGATTAATCAAAAGTACAAACACAGATGAAAGTAAAAATTTAAACATAATATATGAAAAGTACCATTAATCAATGGAGAGGTTTCTGTTGGTTCTTCAGCCATTATTTACTGGGCAATAAATATATAAATAAAAAAAAACGTACTAAACAAAGTAAAAAAATTCCTTTGTGTTTTCTTATTTTTCAAAATAATTTATCTATAGTGTTCTTTTAATTTACAGATAGGGTATTAGATTATCAAAATATATTATCTTGATTGTTTTCAAATTAATTTAGCAGCGCAATTTCTTTTAAACTAAAAAAAAAAAATAATAATTTCCAGGCTACTTATTCCCCGATATATAAAATATGCAGAAATACCTGGAGAATTTTATAAAATAAAATTAAAAAGTTGTCATAGAAGGAGATATATTTTACTCACTAGGATACCATTTGCGATTCATATCTAAAATAAAAAACGTGCATCAAATTAGAGCTGAAAACCATAGCAGCTCGCATAAGAGAAAAATTCAAATACGAATAGCTTTTATCAGATAAAAACTGTCAAATAAAAACAAAATGAAAAATATAATCAGGACAAAATATTAATGTGATAAAGCATATTTTCGTTCGAATATCATTAATAATTTTCATGATATTAATAAATTGATAAAATAGATTTAAAAATTAATAGATAAACGTAACGTTTAAAGCAAATTCTATTTAATATTTAAGCTTTTATTGCTTATAAAAAAGTTATTCCACGAAAACATGCCATTGTCTTGTTTGTTTACTAACAATAGTGACGTCATAAGGCGGATTTCATGATGTAACGTTTTTCAACGGATAGATTGTGTTGCGTTTTCTGTTTGGTATCTTTAGTTTAACAAAAGCAGAGTTTACGGTGTTAAACTTTTTCAACTGTTTCTTCCGTGGGTATAGATTACACACTGCTTTGGGGTCACAGCACGTGACGTTGTGTTCACGTGATAAGCGAGCTTTGAATAGCTCACTTTTCTTTCCTTGTTTTGCATTATATTTTTAATTTCAAGACATATAATTAATTATGTTGGAATAATTTATAGGAAGTCCAAGTTAGCTTGAAAAAATAAGTAATGCAAACATTTACTTTTATTATATAATCATTATTTTATATTTAAATCACTATTATATTTTCTAATATTGTATTAATTATTTTTATAAAATATTTTACGTATTGAAAGAGTTTTATTTTATGTATAATATAAATAAAATGAAATTTATTTCCTCTCATTTAAACTATAAACAACTTTTCTTCTTATTCATTTTTTCTTAAGTTCTCATAAAAATAAATGAAAATTTAAACTTAATTTTCGATGTAAAAGCATTTCAAGAGAGAAAAATAATAGTTTTCAAAAATTAAGTTGTACATTATGCATTTTTTATTGTCTAATTTTATCTTGCTTTAAATACTAAAAAAATATTTACCTGGTACATATTCAGTAATTCATGAGATACAAAAGGATTCAAAATAAAGAAGCAATTTTGTGGAAAATGCCTTGGTTCACATAAGTTTTATTGAGAAAACAAAAAATTTTAATTTAAACTGTTTAAGGAAAAATAAAATAAATTGTGTCTAGGTGTAGTAAAGTGGCTATGGGCCACTTGAGGAGATATACAGGATTATCCTTAATCATCGTTCATAATTTTTTTTAGATTTCTCGTTAAAAATGACGTCTTTGAAATTTTACACATAAAGGAACTGAAATTAATAAATGATGGGAAAAAACGAAATCAACCAAAAAAACACATTTGTCGGATGAAACTGAAATGTAGTTCGTAATGAAGAACTAATTACTTTTTAGATTTATCCGAAAGCTTATAAGTTTTTGAATCTTTGAAAGTCATCTTTGCTCTGATTGACCTCGATAACGTTTCGTCTGATTTTAATGCGTTCTTTTTCTCATTTAAATATTAATTTGTGATACTAAAAATGACTTATTACTTCCTCTTGGTGCAAAGAATCTATGCTCGTGACTTCTGTGCTTCAAACTTATAGCATCGTGCCCGCTTTAAGAGAAAATTTTACGGCCATTGTCTGGTGGCGGCCGTAAATTTTGCTTGACGATTAAACATAATAAATGGAGATTACAAAGAAAATTGCCTGCCAGTCACTACCTTATCAAAAAAATTTGTTTTGTCAAAAATGTGATATCTGATCATTTTAATTAATTGTTTGATCTATAATTGTCTCATAACACTTTGAAAATTACTTTATACTAGGAGGCTCCGCCCCCTGCTCGCTAACGCTCGCCAACCCCCGAGAATTGCTGCGCAATCCTATGTGGTTCACGCCGTGAACCATGGCTCGCTGTGCTTGCTCGCCAATGAACACAATGGTCTAGCACAAAGACATAATATATTATCATCAAAGACATAGTATTGTACTTATGTAGAAGAATTCTACCAATGTTCTTATTGGCTTTTAAAAAAGTATATTAGCTATTTAGATTGTACATGGTGAAAAAATCAAAACATTAGCTAAATAAGAAACATATTAGCAAAATAAATTATCAAATATTGCTTCACTAATATTCTGCATTTTAAAGCGTGAAAATTCAATGCATAAATAAACGCGAAATATAAAAAAATTCAATGCATTCAATACAAACACTTAAACGTTTTTTAGACGTTAAGGTAGCTCCCAGTAGAAAAATATCAATTCAACAGCGGCCTTTTAAAGCATTCTCACTTCAATTAATTAATTAATTCCTAATTGAGTTTAAATTAAATATTGTCATGTTTTTAGTGCATGAATCTGAATTGAACAACCTGATAATGCTCACTCTGGTTATTGTTATCTGGTTGCTCACTACGTGCTCTTGCGCGCCGAATCCAATCAATTAAAAATGAAAACTGTTGCCAGCGCGAGAAAAGAAATATCATCGGTTTTATTGATACATACATACATACGTACGTATTAGCGTTTTATATAATATAGATAGATTTCCCTTTCTATATTTAATTACTTTCTTCTACATTTTAAAAATGAGCTTAGTAATGTTTACCATATTTTGAGAAATACCTTACATTATTAATATAGACAGTTTTTCAATCGTTTAAAACTTTACATTTTTGAATAAGTTTGCATGTTTTAAAAAAGTGAACAAATGCCGCCACTGGTCACAAGCGAATGGCAAAATTTCCCAATTTTTCTGTATAACATCCACATATTCAAAATTTCACTGAAAATTAAGAAAAAGGAAGAAGTAAATCCTTTCAATAATTTCAAGCGCAGGGTCGTGGTGGCTCAGGGGATAGAGTGTTCACCTTCCAATGAGGTTCACCGGGTTCGAGTCCTAGCGATGACTGGTTGATACGAATTCCACAACCGGCTCGCACTACTGACGCAAAATATTCTCAGTGGTAGATGAATCGTGGGTTAAAGTACCTTTACCGCCAGACTAACCGTGGGACGCTTTCGTGGTTTTCCTCTCCATGTAACGCAAATTCGGATTATTTCCATCAAAAAGCCCTCCACGAAGTAAAATTCCCCCCAATACTTAATCTGGGAGTTACTTGTTTTCTGGGTTTAGTTCTAAATTACAAGTTTACGGAGTTGTACATTAATAATCGCGAACCCAAAATTGGGTCGATTATAAAATAAACTAATTCAAGATATCTGGCATTTAAAACAGTACAATAGAAAGCTGTATTATTTTAAATTGCTAAACTAGAGGCCGGGATAGCCTGGTCGGTAGGGCGCTGGGCCCATATCCAAGAGGTCGTGGGTTCGATCCTCGCCGGCCGAAGACTCCCCGTGTAGTAAATGGTGACTGATGCACGTTAAATCTGTCGAGTCTCAAAGTCCTCCATGTTCCCACAACAAATTAATACCTCTGGGGGTACTGATCCAGGAGTTTCCTTGTCTTCTGGATTGGTTCAAAATTACAAGGCTATACGGAGTTGAACGTAAGTAATCGTAAACCCATGAAATTGAGTCGGCTGTTCAACGACGGTTATAAAATAAAATAAAAATTTCTAAACTAATAGCTAAAAAATGTATATTTTTATTTATTTACTTATTATGTAGTTCCGTGTAATTTATTTTTCGCTGATCAGTATTAGTAACATAAACATGATTTTTTTCAAGGCTAAAGCGGAAAAGAAAAAACAAAAACGGAGAACTGTAAATAAAGTAGTTATTGTAAAAAACATTAATGGTAGCGAAACATTTTACATAGTTGTAGTAGTTTTAAAAAATCCCATTTTTAAAATGGAAATTTTATTTCCCTGAAACTATTTTGCCGATTTTGATCAAATTTCGTATTTTGCCATTTTATATAAAAAAAATTTCATAATGACTTAAAAATTTTTATACCTTACAATACAAAATTTTTTTGACTTTCATTAAATATAGTAATAAAAAAAATATTTACTAAAAGTTATTTTTTACACGGAATTACTTTTGGATAAACGAATTTTATAATTGTGTGCAAAAATTTTTCAATTCGCTTAAAAAATTTCTCGAGAAATTACGAAATGCGCAACAAAGTGATTAGCATATTTGAGGTCACCCCTTGGGATCTGGAACGCAAAGATTCAATTATTAGATAAGAAGTTATTAGTCCTTTATTTTTAGCATTGTATATCTAGTTGTCAAATAAGCAAAATCAGTATTTTTTTATTAGCTAAGAATCATAAAAAAATTTCGTCATATTTATCTTTATACATATGGAGGATCAATTACTCTTCCTTTTATAAACATTTACAACCCAGAAAAGCAGTCTGAACCAACTTTTCCTCATCTTTTTATCTTAATGGACTATGAAAAACAAAGTATACATATTTTTTCTTCTACTTTCTGATGACTGAATTATGCTTTAACGCAAGAGTACTAAATCTATTATTTTCTCTTACATGCTCAATCTTTTTCAAAACATTTCTATACTAGGAGATAAAGATTGCATGTTTTTGACATAATTCAGGGTCGTAGCAGATAACGAATAATTACTGTTGCTATATTTGCCCTCAAATTACTTTATCAGTTAAAATCTTTCAACAGTAAGCACACATTACTGGAGATAATGATCACTAATAATATTCTTAATGACCGAGCATTGTATTGTTGAAATTTACCTGGTATCAGAGAAAGCTTGTTTCCCATCGAATTTTTTTTTACTCCAATAAATTAATATTAGTTTATTTATTAGTAAATAATTAATAGTTATTTTTTAATAAGAGATGAATAATATATATTTATCTGATCTGTGACTTACGTCGTTTCAAATTAATTTTTCTAACCAATCTTTTAATCTAATATATGAAACTAATTTATTATTCAGTTACCAATTATCAGTTAGTTAATAATTATCAATTAGTTATTAATTAGCAGTGAATTATTGATATTTACCTGATTTCAGAATAGGGTTGTTTCAAACTATTTTTCGAATAAATTGATTTTAATTTATTTATCAGTTAGTCATTTATTAGTAATGAATTATTGATATTTTTCTGGTCTTTGATAGAATTTGCTTTAATTAATTTTTACTATAAAATAATATTAATTTATTGATTAGTTGGATTATATTTTAATACCTACAAGTAGAGGCGCGGAAAATAACTTAAAATAAAATTTGCAAGACAAAGAATAATACATTAAAACATAAAATTAGCTATCACAAGAAAAGTTTTTTTTCCATAAAAAGTATAGAAAGTTATGTATATGATCTTCCTTCCGAAATATATATGTGTGTATGCGCATGTATATTCGTATTGAATTGAATATATTGAATATTGAATTTATGAAAATTATTTAGACAAATATTTATAATTATGTCAACAAAAAATATTAGTCGAATGTATATTATGATAATTATTGAAATTATTATTTAACACAATCTCAACTAAATACATTTGAGCATTCGTTTTCGAGCCAATGCTTAACCGGACAATTGAAAAACTAAGTTAAATGGCACGACAGCCTATGGAGGGCCATTCCTCCACTGCTCTGCCGAGTAGTTCGAACGTTGTGACATGTTTCTGATTTTTCGTCCACTGCGCAGTTTAGTAGTCCGAACGTTGCGACATCTTTCTTATTTTGAATCTACTGCGTAGTTTAGTTGTCCGAACGGTGTGTCATCTTTCTTATTTCCTCCA